TTTGTATTAGAGATGAAATTCCAGCTGAATATTTCAGAAACATTAAAAACACAAATTGGGACCTTTATAAGGATTTCCTGGTTTCTAATGTCATTAACCTTCAGGTTTTAGACAATAATTGTACAGTCGAGGAGCTTGATATTCAAGCAAACAATTTGACAAATATCATTATTGAATCTTATCATGCATCATGCCCTCTCAAACGAAGGAAGTACTCTCCTAGCAAGAGAGTTTGGTGGACCAAGGAGCTTGAAAGCCTCCGCCTAGAGGTTCGGAGAGCTCACAGGAAAGCTGTCAGAAATAAATCTGAAGTTAACTGGTCTAACTTCAAAATTCTACAAAGGAAATTTAAAAGTGAAATCAGGAAAACTAAATACAACTCATGGAGATCGTTCTGCACAGATATTCTGTCCTACCATGAGACTGCCAGAGTATATAAGATTCTTAAAAGATCTCAGGAGTCTCAACTCTCATCGGTTATGCGACCTGATGGCAGTTATACTATAAACCCTTTGGATACACTTTCGACCATGTTGAATTTTCATCTGGGGGACAGAAGTGTCACCTCTGACCCCCAGGAAAATCCATTGGAACTACTTCATAATCCATTAGATCTGGATTTTGCTAAGACAATTGTGAATTTTGAAAAGGCTAAAGCGGCCCTTGATGTATTTCTTCCCTTTAAATCTCCAGGGAACGATGGCATTTACCCAATTCTGCTTCAGAAAGGCTGGGATATTTTTGGTCACATTCTCGTGGACATATTCAGGTCCAGTTTGATTTTAGGATATGTTCCTAAGGTTTGGAGAACTTCACGAGGTGTGTTTTCTTCCTAAACCAGGAAAAGATACATATGAGAAACCAAACTCTTTTAGAATGATCACGCTAACATCCTTCCAGCTTAAGCTGTTGGAGCGATTGATTTTCTGGCACCTCCAGTCAGATAATAATCTGAAACATACCTTTGGCTTAGACCAACACGGTTTTAGGCCTGGCTTCTCCACTGAGTCGGCCTTACACCAACTCGTGTGGAGAATAGAAAAAACAATTATAGACGGACACTTTGCCATTGGGATTCTACTGGATATTGTAGGAGCCTTTGATAACATCGGTTTCGAGAAAATACATAAGGCCCTTACTGGAAGTCATATTCACCCTATGATAACTAGATGGGTCATCTTCATGATTAAAAACAGGAATATCTGTGTTAGTCTCGCTGACTATGAAGTAAAGAGAGATATTACTAAAGGGTGTCCGCAGGGTGGTATTCTTTCTCTTCTCCGTTCCTGTGGAACCTGGTTTTCGACTCACTCTTAGTACTTCTACGGGAGGAACCTGGCATGTCACAGGCTTATGCAGATGACCTTATTGTGTTATTACAGGGTTTCGATATCGGAACCCTACATAATCAAGCTCAGCAGATCTTAAATAAAGTTTCACACTGGGGTGATACAAATGGCCTTTCTTTCTCTGCTGAAAAATCTGAGGTCATAGTTTTCACGTGGAGAAGGAAATGGAAACTGGCAGATTTATATCTGGGTCACCAGATTATTAGGCGTAAGGAATGCGTTAAATACCTAGGATGTTACCTGGATAGTAAACTTACATGGATCACCCATATAAAAGAAAAGGCACAAACGGCCACAAATGTTCTAGTACTTTGTAGGCGAATCGTTGGTAAACAATGGGGCCTTAACCCAAAATCTACTCTATGGATTTATACTGCCATTGTCCGGCCAATGCTTTCTTACGGATGCGTGGTCTGGATTAATGTTATTAACAAAAGCACGTTTATTTAAACATTTTTTTACAAAAGGTGCAAAGACTTGCTTGCCTAAGCATTAGTGGGGCTTTAAATAGTACCCCTACTGCTGCATTAGAATTTTTACTGCAAATTCCACCCTTGAAATTATTCTTGAGCGGAGAAGCAATTAAAGCCATGTATAGATTGAATAAAAATGGCACATGGTGCCAAAGGACAGGTTTTGGTCATAAAAGCCACCTGAAAAGCCACATTGACATATGTCTGGACTGGACTTGGGCAATGAGATTCCTATAATCTATATGCCCAAAGATGCAATTACTAAAACAATAGTTCCAGATAAACTATTCTCAACTCATATACCAAAAAGGAATGAGATAGAATCTCTAATTGATCTAATTCCAACAGGCTCAATTGAATGTTACACAGATGGATCAAAATCCAACTTCACTGGAGCTGGAGCTATTATAAGGACCAAGGGATCTGAAGAAGATTTCATTAGATTTCATCTATACCTTGGTAAATTAACAACTGTTTTCCAAGCCGAGGTTCTGGCGATCAATATGGTCGCCAGGGAGCTCTTAGCTAAAAATACAGTTGATAAGTATATATATATTCTCTCTGACAGCCAATCAGCCATCCTTGCCCTGGCTAATCGTGTCAAGTTACAAAACTGTGTTTTGAACTGTACTCAAGATCTCAATTCTCTGGCTCAGGCCCATAATACCATTAGTTTAGTCTGGGTCCCAGGTCATTGTGATTTTGCTGGAAATGAACTAGCTGATAAAGTAGCTAAAGATGCTTCGCAACTACCCATGTCTGGCCCAGAACCATTTTACCCAGTTTCATATCAAACGGTTAAAAAAGAAGTAAGAAGCTGGATAAAGAACAAACATGATGATATATGGTCTAAACTTCCAGACTGTGCTCATTCTAAATTGGTGCTCAGTACACTTAACTTTTCAGGTAAACTCATACACCTCAGTAGAACTAACTTACGCCAGGTAATTCAAATTGTTACTGGACATGCTTATCTAGCTAAGCATCTCCACAAATGTGGTCTTGTCGAATCTCCTCTCTGCCCTGCCCAGCTTGTGGAGAAGAAGAGGAAACACCTTTTCACTTTCTGGGACGATGTCCGGTGTTCTCTGTCCCTAGAAACAAATTCCTTGGGTTTCCCTATATTACCTTTGATCAAGCCCTTTTATACAAAGGGCTCTCTGGCATAATAGGGTTTCTGATGTATACTAAACACCTACAGGTAAGGTGAATATGGAACCACAAGAAACAAGCATTGAGACGCCCTACGAGTTCTTTTTTTTTTTTTTTTTTTTTTGAAAAGAAACTATGCAGGGATTTCCCTCTCATAGCTGTGTTTTGGAATATAATGATATCAAATTTTTATACACTACCTGGCCATTTGGCTTGAGAATGCACCTCTGCCCTCCTTATTTATTTATTTGACTCTCCATCGCACTCTTGTTTGGTCAAGAATTTGCGTTTGGTGGTTTGGGAGGGATTGAATCGGTTTTCCATCCAATAGGGAAGTTTTCACGATCCAGCCGACACCTTGAACTTAGAGATGGGATCTTTTGCTGATACTATAGATTTGGTGTCAGTTTGAGATCTTATCTATTTATTATTTACCTTTTACGGGAGTTACCATTTAAATCCCTTGATTTAAATGATTAAATGGCGGAAGAGTAATGGGCAATTTTGCCTAAACTCCTTTCCTTCTTTTCATAAGAAGGAAGCGCCCTATTGTTATGTTATGTTAATTAAGTAGATTTTACAACAGAAAATAGGGAAAATCAGATATGTCTTCACTAAGATTCAAATCCTGGACCTCCAGACTGCCAGCCAAATTGCTTCCAATTATACCTGAAGGCATGCAGTAAGGAAGGAGAAAATTCCTTAAACTAACCTCCATTTAAGGAGCAGCCGGGAAGGAGGAGACTCAGTCATCAATTTAGGTAGTGACGAGTTATTGTCCATTGCAATTTAGTTGTAGTCTTTCAGACTTGCTTGCAGGCAGGAAATATGAGAAATCAGTGATGCAACCACCAGGATTTGTACTCTGGACCATCTTACTGCCAACTGGATATGCTCCCAATTACACCACTATGGCATGCAGTAAAGAGGAAAAACATTCCTGACAAAATAACAGCATTTCTTTTATAGGTTTGAGAAATTTCTGAGATCACACATCTAATAATGGTTGTTATCTATCCCTTTTTACTATAGTACGTATGTATGCAAGATACATACATATGTATGAAAAAAATCTTTTCTGATTCCATTTTAAATCAGTTTTATAATTCGTTTGGGGAGAAAGAGTCCTTTATTCTGTCCTTAAGTATAGATGTCATGCAAAAACATAGTTAAATTGCATTCGATAGCAGTCACAATGGGTATTTTTCATTGAAATACGAAACCCAGAATTTTTCATGATTACAATACTTTACTTCATACAAAAAAGTGAATATCATCACTCTCAGGCTGAAGCCCCAACATCAGAATTCTCTTGCTGGGGATTACACTGATCTCCAAAACACTAGGGAGATTTCATGGCCCAGTAAATCTCCCTACAGTTATTTCAGTTGACTGCCCATAAATTGTCCACATAAAACCCAAAAGCCTGCATTGCTAACAGAGACTGATCAAGAGCATTTAATTGCTCTTGGTTCCAATTAGCATTCATCACAGGTTTTTGAGGTCCCAAATGTCTAACCCACTGCCAAGGTGTAGATACAGTGATAACAGTGCATGTAATAGGCACGATTAGAGTGCCAAGTAAATTATGGCTGCAAATGTCAACTGAAAATAAATTTCAATATTTAATCTTACTTGGCTGCCAAGTTTCCTCTTTAGTATAGATCTAAATTCTACACCATCAACATTACACATCTTTCCCTATTATATATGCATATATATATATGTGTGTGCAAGTTTAATTTGATTTATAATTTATAAGTGCTATTTTATTTGCTTTTTTGAATTTACTGGCCATTCATTTTAACTTCAAGCCAGTCTCATATAGTATGTAGGTTACTTGGGATTTATTGTACAGATGAATTTTTCAGGCTCTTTTAAGAAATCACTATTTACCCCTCCCCCAAAAAAAAACATCAAAGAAAACAAATAATTACTATTAAAAACAAAGCAATTAAATCTTACATCTTACTTATTACCCAACAGATAGCAATAGAAAAAAAAATTCTTCAAAATTAGTACTCACTTGTCCATGTACTGAGTAAGTCGAATATATGCTATACATGCAGCATCATCCCCTAATAAATGAACTGAAGGATTCAATATTGTGCTGTTCAAAGTTTTACTATTTTTCCCTAAAACTAAAAATAAATAATAATTAAACTTTTAAACATACCTAAATATTTATTAAATTTCAGTCAGAAAGATTTGAAAAACTCTACATAGTCATTTGGGCGATAATTTACTGTTACCAACACTTTACTCTGCTATTAGGAATTTCCACACTAACTGCCCAGTGCTCATTAAAACCAATAATAGTATTTTTTTTCTATGCAGTTTGCTATGTTCTTCAAATTAATTCCTAATGCTCATTCAAATTACTGATTTTAATATATTTTTGTACATATTTTGCCCCTAATGCACTCTCTTCCCTAGCCTTTTTTTTTCCAAGCATATGGTTTAGAAACTTTATTTACTCTCGGATAGACTAGATTCCTTATCCTTTACAGCCTTTTAAAATTTACTGTTATAGATTTTTACCAATATGAACAATCTTTTGAGCTTAAATTACTATGAGTAATAAGGAATACTGTTTGTACATGTAAACTAAGATGTGACTCCGGAAATATGATATGGAAGCAGAAAGAATACTATTGCTACAATTATTGCAGCCAGTTTTATTGAAAATACAGTACAGTTATCATCAATACAATCAATCTATCTATTGATATACACTTTTTTTGTCAGTCAGTCTGGGAGTTTTGAGAATTCTATACATGAAATATATGGTGTTTCATGCAGAGGGAACATTAAATAATATTAGTGCCTTCTTTTCCAAGGAGAACACAGGGGGTTGCATAGCTGTGAGCACTTAGTAAATCTAACGTGCAAAAGGAAAAACTTTAAAATGATGGGTTTCCCACTATAAATGAATTACGGAATTTGTATCATTAAAAAGTTTCATGCAGTGTATGCTGGAATGAAATATGTTTAGTTATAGTTAAGCTCAGAAGCTGCACTGCTGGTTTTACAAAAAATTAAATGTCTTGAAGCATCAAATATGCCATTTACACCATGAGCATAAGTAATTGCAAGGAGGCATACAAATACAAAGTTATTACAATACATACAAAGCATACAAATACAGTTATTAAACCCACCTCCCAAAGTAAAGAGGCAAGGCCTCCGACAAAATCTCGTTCAGGGAGAGCAATACACCTTCCTGTGAGATTCAGACTCTGAGTTATACTATTCCTTTATTTATTACTCTTATCTATATTATTTCTGCTATTATTGCATGTGGTATAAATAAATGGAGTGACTGCATAGGTTTAGCGGTGATAATCTACATGATGGAATACTCTCCCAAGGACGTGTATATATTTCAGTTTTGTAGTGAAGTATAAATTGTTATGTGCTATTAGTAATTCTACATAATTGAGTACTATATATTTCATTTTCTGCTTAGTATTGCCTTATTCAACTTGGTGATCAACTGCACCAAATATTTATAATCTTTGGAAGTAATTATTAATATGTATATTGAATGGGAATGATTTATTTCTTCCAAAGGGGTATGTAACTAATTACTTATTATTTAATATGGTACACATGTATATTTGAAATAGTTTGCATTTAGTATTGTGTTTGTTTAGATTCCAGTAACAACTTTGTATTCCTATATCATCAATTTACACATTTTTTTTTTTTTTTTTTTGAGACAAAGTTCAAATATGTTTCTAGAAATATTTGCATTGATAGTCAAAGTCATGAGTGAATAGAAAAAGAAATGTGCATTGAATATTTAATATGTCTACTATGCAATATGAATATTTTAATAATACTGATCATATTTTCATTGCTGTTAGCTATTTCATGTCACTGAAAGCTTAACACATTGAATAGTTCATTTAAGCCCATATGTGAAGTATATATATTTATTAATTGTGGTACATACAAATGTTTTCCAGCATGGAACAAACTCCAGTTGATCTTGAATTCATGGATATTTTAAATGTAATTTGTACTTTGATTTTTCTACAACATTACTTTGAGAAACCTGATACAACGTTTAGTAATGATTCCTTTATGTTTTTATGTGAAGTGAAATTTGATCATAAGGTATAATGATTATGTTCTGCTATTACTGTCATGACAATTTATGTATCGTAACTTAGTTACTGGTGAGGGAGTGATGTTAGAACAACTTTCACTTCATCATCTCACCACTAGATGGCTGCACTATGCAGGAAGCAGTTATTCGCAGTTTCGAAGATGGCTTGCCAGCTAGCTGAAATTGGTAACAAAATTAATAAATAAATTATAAAATAATGATTGTTTGTAAAGGAAAAATACTGGTTAATTGTAAGCATTCCAGACTAATTTGTAAAGTGTTTTCTTTTGTATTTTTTCTAATTGTTTATTAATTTTTCACTCTAAGTTCATAATTTTAACTGCAGTTCAATTGTGTGAGAGAGTCTGTCTTCAACTGTTCTCAGAATTAGGAGGTCTCTGTGTTGGACTGTGTGCGTGGAGCATGTGTAAAAATAAAAACTCTTGCATTATTTCAATTTAGTTCTGCTGATTTGTTTTAATGTAGCAGGATCGTTATTAATATATGCCCGAACATATGTCTTGATTGATGATTTCTCATCTGAGGCATTTATTGCCAATTTAAAAAGATTTTTGGAACCTTTTTCTAGCTTTTAAAAGATTTTAAACTTAACGTATAATGAATTTCTGACAGTTATCTGTCAAATAGAAGGAATCTTAAATTCTTGCCTATTCATTCAACTATCTGATGACATAAATCACTTAGAAGTATTGACATCTAGTTATTTCATCATTCATATGGAAGCAATAGCAAAATAATTACTTAAATACATTACACAGCAAAAGAATAAATGAATGACTGCCAAGCACAGCATTATGACAGAGGACATGTTTCCAGTGCAGAAGGATAATCTGCCAATTTACAAATGGGTTCAGTTCAAGGTTCTAGAAGGAATTAAAGAGTTATTTATTTATTTTTGCCAAGGATAAAATGGCAAGCATTGTCAATCTGAAGATATACACTAATATTCAGTCGCTGACATTTAACTGAAGTATTGACATCTAGTTATTTCATCATTCATATGGAAGCAATAGCAAAATAATTACTTAAATACATTACACAGCAAAAGAATAAATGAATGACTGCCAAGCACAGCATTATGACAGAGGACATGTTTCCAGTGCAGAAGGATAATCTGCCAATTTACAAATGGGTTCAGTTCAAGGTTCTAGAAGGAATTAAAGAGTTATTTATTTATTTTTGCCAAGGATAAAATGGCAAGCATTGTCAATCTGAAGATATACACTAATATTCAGTCGCTGACATTTAACTGACGCGACACTTAACAGACAGCAGTTAGCTAACATGGACACTTAGCCGACAGGACATTTAACCGACACATACACTTAGCCGACAGGACATTTAGCTGACAAAAACACTTAGCCAACAGGACATTTAGCTGACAAGTCTCACTCTTCCAAATGCTTTCAAATTTCTAATACTTTCACATTTCATTACTACTTTGCTCAACACATCATGCTACATTCATTCCTGTATAAAGTCACTTTGCTTCTCCCACTAATGAAATTTCCTTTCCCTGTCAGGAAGTAGTGTGATTCACCCTATTCCTCGCCGCACTGGAATTATATTTTTTTCTGAAATGCTACTTACACTTTAGGCATCGTATGTTTATTAATCTGAGATAGGGCTCTGGCCCAGGAATTCGTGCCTGGTAGCCTGCAACCACCTAAGAGAAGTAGGTTGGGTTTTCTTTATGCAATTATGCCAAAGCCAGAGAGCTATCTGCCTAAGGGGAGCGATACATCCGTGGAGGACTTTCTAAGGAAAACTGGTGTGTATACACATTACACATGGAGAAACCCACGAAAACACCCATGCAGCCAGTCCGTTCACGGCATTCAAAATTTGAACCGAACTACCAATGCTCAACCACTTTACCACTTGGCCGCTGCTGCGCCTAGTGCATTTTACTTAATATGTAACCAGTCTCTTCCAACAAAAATTGCTTTTTTAGGTTAGACCTTTATAAATACATTGCTAGAAAATGAGAAGAATGTTACAAATCTGAATACTGAAGTAAAATTCACTATTATTATTGAATTATGCTTTTAAAGGAAATATTGGTGGTAGAATGTTAGATAACCAACACTATTTTATTTTATTATTAAAAAAAATAATAAAAGAGATTTTCCCATTGTCTGCACTTATATTTTCAGGTTTGATGATTTTCTCAAGACAATTTTTTTTCCCACTGTCTGCATTTATATTTTTAGGTTTGAATTACAAAATGATGATTTTCTCAAGTTAAACTAAGAATATCCTTAAACACATTTTTAGAGAGTAACATAACACTGGATAATGCTATGGGCAAATTGGATTTACTATCAGCTACAGTCTAGCAAGAAGACCTTTGTCTATTTGACAGTTTATTTCAAAACATTGTGGAGCTGAACTGAGCATTTTTATGCCACAATATTTTTGATTTTTAAGTTGGACTAAGTGAACACATGTCTAATTTAAAGTTATTGATACCTTAATTTACAGGTTACCCAATGAATTCAGGAAAGAACAATATTTTTGAAAGATGAAAATCAGTCTGGTTGACTGTAGCCTGCTTCAGCTAATCAAAACATTATCTTTAACATCAAATGTTAAAGAAGGCAATCATGTAACACATGCTTAAATTCAAGACAAACTAAATATTAGATCAAATGCATTCAGAAGCTTTTTCATTAAAAAAAAAAAAAAAAAAAAAAAAAAAAAAACCTTGGTGCCAGGAAGTTTTGAGATTATTGTATAATCAACAATACATTTTTCTTCTGGCAAAACAAACAAACCTGAATGAACTAAAGCACAAAAGTAAACTTCAGAAAATGAGCATAAAGGCATTTCAAAGATCTGATGCATATTCAAAATTGATTTTTAACATAACAGGTAATTAATTTTGGTTCTAAAAATATGATCCACAAATCAGATGCCTGTCTCCTGTATGAAGTTTACTGATGAAAATTCTTCTACTAAGGTTAAGATAGAGTAGTGTGAAAAGTTTGTGAAGTGTTGAAAAGT